AGCAGACCGTGGACCAAGAACAACGCTGGAGGACCGGGGACGCTGTGCTCCCTCCCTTTAAAGTTTAGGCTCTCACCAGAAGCTGTTACAAAAGCAAGATAAACCCACAAACAATAGGATCCTTTCATTTTCCTTCTATGTTTCCCAGGCAACACCAAGCACTCAACAGCAGTTTAGAGTGCAAAAGCCCCCCCCCAGTTTGGTCAGTTAATGGCAGGAAGATGAAGACTCTTAAGCAGAGCTGCTCATTGATATTGTTTGGTAACCACAGTCAGGCGGCTGCAGCAATGACATTTATACCCAATACTACGTTGTTTTTAAATGCAAACTTCCATGCTGGAGCTCTGAGACTCCAGTGAAGGAGGTGTATTTCCATTCCTCAATTACAGATCTACAGCTACCCCTGCACACAGGGCTGGGAGTCCATGACAGCACCATGAAGGTAGGTGCACATAGATCACAGCGGGAATGCTCCAGGCTACAGAAAGCAATTTAGATCCAGGACTGTGGCTCAGACCAATGTGCTGATGCACAGATGCCAAGAGAATCCCCAACTGTGGCAGACAGGCCTCAGGAGACCCTCAAAATTGGTCAAGTCCCAATTAGGACTCCAAGAAGATCCTCTCTTCAACCAAAGGGCAGGATGTTTAGCATCCCTGCAGGGCACATGGTCTTGTTACCTTTGCTTTGGTCACTTGTGGAATGAGGTGCTGAAGGGTGAACAGTGTCTATTCTCACCTCTTTGTAGCATGCTGCGGCCAGCCCACAACCCTTCTCCTCACAGAGACCTGACTCAAGGCTAATACACAGATGGACCTCTGCTCGTCACACAATTCTTGATCTAGCTGTTCAAGTAGAAGCTAAAGGAACAGAGATTCAGTGGCTAAATCAGACTCCTAGCACTAGAAGACCCCCAAAGCTATCAGGGCTCAAGAAGAAATTGCATTTTCCAATCATGCCCATCCAGGGGCTTGTGCCTTCTCTCCGAGTTATCTTCCAAACTTTTCCAGGCCTCAAATGAATCCTGAAGCTGCCATCCCTTCCCACCTTATTCTAGCAAGCCTGACTGGATCTAGACCTCGTGATTCTAACGTTCTGGAGCTTTGGCCAGCAGGGAACATGCTACCCCAAATTATGTTAAATCAATTCATTTCATCTGAATGGTAGGAGTAGTTCTAGCATAAAACAGACAATAAAAGACTTTCAAAGCAGTAGAAAAGCCATGTACACATTAAGTTAATCTCCCATAGGTATGCAGGAAAGCAGAACTTATTCAGGTTCCCCATCAGGCTATCTGTCCCCAGATTTTCCAAACGGAACAGTTATTTAGAGTCTAAACATTCTTTGAAGATGTTGATTCTAAGTTCTGTATCTCGGCCAGTTTGGCAGGAACAGCTCTTCACTGGTAGTTCCTCATGGGCTATCCCTTACAGCCCGAGAAGTTTGTTATGAGATGTTTAATGCAGACTACTACCCATCCTTTCTACGTTCTTCTTCCTGAACATCTGCTATTGAACTCATCAACTACATCTAGAAATGAACCTGGTACCCAACACTATTAATTAACAAACACAGCCCACAAAAGCTAAAACATCCATAAATACAGGGATCTAGTTGCTATTTTTTTCCTTAAATCATCTAGAACAGATCTGATTGCCAGTGTATGTTCTCTCTCATTTCTTTTTATGAAAAGAATGCAGAAACCAATCCTCAGGAATAAAAAAAACCAAAATGTTTTCACATTTTAATTATGTTAAAGCACATCATAGTTTAAAATCCTGACTCTAAGTGCAAAGGAAACGACCCAAAGTCCCTGCCCTTGCAAGCTCTTAAGCTCCACCCACAGGGTAGAACAAAAAGATAAAGTAAAATGTGGAACTGAGAGGATGGGAAGCATCACTGGAGTTTCTGGAAACCCTTAGACCATTCTCTCTCCTGGGATTCCCAAGTCCTGTCACCCCTGCTCCATAAACCTGTGCAGAAGCATCTACCATGCTGAGCAGAAGTATTGAACACGACTATCAGTATCTGCTGCCGTGGTGTAGCACCTTCATTTTACACATACTGCAGCCGGAATAAGAGGGATATTGGGGACAGAGTCAGGTGTTGGAGGAATGAAGAGAAAGAGGAGTGGCAAAAATATGGATCCTGCCTGTTCTGCACACAAGCAGTCGCAGCATAGTCAACTCTACCCCAGTGAGGTTCCTGCAGAGCCAACTGCACAGGGAAAGTCATACAAAGACTGCAAACCAGCAGTGCCTCCCCAGAAGCGGAGGACCTTGTGGATTAGAGTCCCAGGCAGGAATCCTTGCAGGACCACCTTCAGCAAGTCCCAAACTGCCACTGAGCAAAAAACCTTTCCATCCTAGCACTGCAGACCCAGAAAAGCAGCAGCAGTACTTCAGCACGAGCTGGATGAGGGCCTCCTTGCTGTGTGCTGGTCACAGAAGCACCTGCAGAATATGCCCTATCAGGAACCTCCTTGCACCAGAAGATCTCCACCTGGATTTATGATGCTGGGGGAGAACTTCTTCCTCCACTGAATCACAAGGAGAAATTAAGTATTAATTGTCACCAAGTTCTGCATAGGGGCTTTTTAAATTCATGGGCAGGAATAGGACAGAGATCCTCTGCCATTCCTATCTGGATGCTAGAAGGAACTAGAATAGGGTTCTTTCCAAGACAGATGAACGATGCCCAGTCAGTCTCACAAGCAAACTGGACTGACAGCCTGTACCATGTGCTGTAGCAAAATCAGGAAGCAGTAGACACTTTTATATTCTTATTTCCAGGTGTCTCTTATCTCTGAAAAGAACAAAATTTTACCGAACAAGGAAACAGACACCTACCTAGCCTCAAGCAGCTGGCAACTTTCCAGGCAAGGCTGCAGAACTAACTGCTTGTCCCAAATCTGTTCTGAGCATACTTCACAGGAGTGAATGACAGTGTCATGTTTGTCGCCAAAAATGTTGTGTCTAGATCAGAAATGCTAAGTGTGGGCGCTAGGTTCTAGGGCATCTCCTCTATCTTCAAGAGGAAATGAGACTGGAAGCAACAGACTACAGGGCTCTACAGTTCACAAGCACTTGCATTGGCACAATCAACTTTCATCTTCAAGCACCATAAGGTGCAAATCCTGTGAACAAAGTCGCCTTTACCTTGAATTTACAGGGACCTAAAATCCCAGTCTGAGAGTTACACAGTAGAAGGATGCTCAGGCTGACGTTCAGTTCTAGGGGAGTGGAAAGCGAACCACAGAGAGCAGCTGCAGTATTGCTCAACACAGACCACAGCAGAAAGCATCACTGCCCCACACCAAGCACAGAGCATGTAGTGCTTGGGGCTCACACCTACCAGTAGCGTACGCAGGGTGAATCCTGCTGGAAGCCGCACAGGTCCCAGCTATTGGAAATTCCAGCTAGGGACAGACCAAGCCATTCTCAACTCCAGGCATCCTACCTGATGTACAAGATCCCTTGGTGTGCCAGCCTGGCCTGGAACTGCCCGTTCAGTAGCTTTAGATAAGGTGGTTGCACCACCTGCTGTCTGCTCTGAAGCAAGCTACCAGCGTCTATTAGAACGTCATTAAAGATGATCATTATTAACAAAAGTTTTCTTCTTCAGAACTGTTTTTTGCAGGACATGCTCTTGATTAAAGTCATCAAGAAAGATTTCATATCCAAAAACTATGAAGCAAGATCAGCAGAGGGACAGTCTAATCAAAATGCTTCAGGTTCTCAAATAGACTACAAGAAGTTCACTTTAATACCCAGCTCCTCTTAGGAGAAAGATCACGCTGCTATCACTTTGGGAAGCTCTCTCAAGTTATTTCCGCTCCAAAAACTCTGAAAGCTAGCATCAAACACAACTTTCAAAGTGAAAATTCTGCCATGCAAAAAAACCCAGCCACCTGCCCAACACCACTTGTGACTTAGCAGAAAGGAAAAAGACATCTGAAATCCTGCACCATTCCCCTTTCCTGGACAAGGCTGCAGCACTAATTAATCCAATCCAATGGGGCAAAGACATAAGATTCCTACAAAAAGCCACAATACTAAAAGTCTTCTTAGGATACGGGGTCTTGTTCACACATGAAAGCAGACAAGTCAGTATGCTCTCTTGGCTGGCACAAATATGACAGGTTACAGGAACTTCCCCCTAGTCTTAGACATCAAGGATCCTGTTCATGGGCAAGTATTTTGTGTGCTAGGCGTCAAAAATAATTGGGCATGCAGTAGCAAGGTCAGTGTGGGTCTAAAAGGAAAGGAGTTCAGAAGACAAATGTCCTCTGCTTGAGGAAGCATAGGTGCATAATATGCAGACAAAGAGGAATCAGAAAAACAGTTTATTAAAAAAAAAAAAAATCCCCCCTCAAATACCCACATACTTTCTGATAAATTTATTGCTCAAGCTAGATCTCCTGTGCTACTGCTCTCTCTCCCCTTGGCCTGTAGGGCCAGAAGTACTCATGCATCCTTGTCCTTCCAACCAACATAATTTGGCTATGCTCAATTGGTCCCAAATACCAGCATTTAATTGTCTCCTTACTATGCACACAGAACATGGAGGTCACCAGGCACAAAGGCTCCTTCTCACTGGGACAAGTCTACAGATTTATACATAGTCATCTGCTCCCACTGGGATGGTGGCAGAGCCATAAAGAAAGTATGGGAAGGTGTATCTACCTTCTCTTTTGAAGCCAAAGCCTAAACAACACTAAAATCATCCCTGAACCACTCAGCCTGCAGTCCAGACATGTCCACGCTCATTCTACAGCTCATAGTCTACACTCTCAATACACACCCTTCAGGATTCCCTAGTAAGCTTTCTATAGCATTTCCCAGTCTCAGTTGTTCTACTTCCACTGAACCGGGGCTCGTCTTCCAAGTTCACTCTGTGCGAAAGGCGTATCGCCTCTTTCTTGTGCAGCATCTACAGATCCATGCTGTAGAAGAACAGCAGGACTCTCTCCAGGCCCTGGCTCTCCTTTGGATGCTCACAGAGACTCTTGGACTCCTATATAGCTGTCAGGCAGGTCTGGCAAGAACAGAGCAGGGGACTTTGTGCTTCACGTTCAGTCAATGTTGTTGCGGGGTTTCAACATCCTCTTCCTCCTCCTCACCGTGTTCAGTGTGGCGCAGCAGCAGCTCCAGGTCAGGGTTGGAGCTGGCCTCTTTTTGTAGCTTCAGTGCTTTTTCACCTGCATGCAGACAGCCCATTTAGTGACAAACTCACTAGAATACCCACCAAACCTGGCGCTGGCAAGGAGCTGGAACCAGACGCAGCTCCTAGTGACGCTACGAGAATGCCTACAGAGAAACAGAAAGGGATTTAAAACAGAATCACCTTTGGAATTCATGGCTTTGAGAATGACATGAAGGGAGATTCCCGACAGACAGACAGCAAAGCCCAGCCAGTTCAAGAGACTGAGGCGGTCTCCCAGCAAATGTGTGGCGAGGAATAAAATGCAGATTTCCTGTGGAAACAAAAAACACGACAAGTGGCAGGGCAGGACCTGAAGAGAGATGCATGAGAAGTTTCACAGCTCAAGCCTAGATCAAGATGCCAGGCTGCTAATTTCCATCAGCACATTCTTCCATGTGCAGAGAGTTCTAAAAACAGTTTCTAGAAACAGAATGACCTATTAAAACTGGGATGTGGGATTTTAAGTCCTCTGACTGCATAGCTTGGCTACATGGGAATCCTGTGACTTCCGGATCAGACAAATTCCACATGTCTCCAGCTCAAAAGTATGTGTGCTGGATTACTCAAAGTATGGGAGAATGTGCCAAACTAGGTTAAAGAGATAGCTCAAACCAGTGATTTTTGTTCATATCCAGGTCTGATGCAAGAGCACACCCTTCCTACCCCTCCTCCCTCCCGCACCATCCATCGCTCATGAGCCCACGTGTTTTAGTCTATCCCAGATCCCACCAAACTTTGGACCTTAGTGGTATTTTCTATAGAACGGCCACTAGTCTCTGCCCCTTGCTGTCAGGGACCAAGGGACTTGGCCGCAGAGACTGGAAGGGAAAGCAACAAGCTCCTGTGCAAGGAGAACAAAAATAACAGGAGATGATTTCTAAGGCTCTAAGGAAGTTCCTACCACATGAGGCCCGTTAGGGGTAACTCAGTACTTGCCTTCAAGTATTAGCACAGGAACCATGCCTTACCTTAAAAATGCCAGCAATGGAAAGGGTGAGGCTAGATGTTCTGGAAACCAAGAGGAACTCAGAAAAGCCTAGACCAAAGGCAAGAATTCCACCCAAGAACAGCTTCCCTACCAGAGAGAACAGCATGCCTGCTTCATGGAAACGGATGAGCTTCTCTGATATGGACAAAGGCAGGCCTAGGAACAAGACAGTGAGTAGCAGAGTACCTTTCCCAACTCCCAGGACTCCTCACAACAAGATGGGGGTGGGCTGCTCACATTCCAGTATCAGGAGGATGTGGAGCCAGTTCTTCATAGCTGTTACTTCCACAAGTGTGGCAGGCTACTGCTCCTATGCACTCTTTAATGTTCTACCAGCATAAGGTATACCTGGGTCCTTATAATTCCAGGTCTCTAACTACTTTGTAAAGTTCATAGCTGTTCACTTATCTAAATGAATCATCTCAAACAACGAACTCCGAAACAATCTCCCCAACCACGCTATAAACTATCCCTGCTTTCTCTAATTAACTCACGCACCCTCAAACACCGCAAAGAGTGGGAAGAGCCCCAGGAACATGAGCGGCTGCAGGTGAAACATGATATCAATGGGGTTCTGGAGCCCTGAAAGAGGAGAATCAATAACAGACCAGGTAGCAACAAGTCAGGGAATAACATACCTCCTAGAGCCTTTATTAGTACCGTTCCTAGACATACACCTCATTTGTAATGCCCATGCCTGTGCTGCTGCAGAGACTAAGCCACCTTCATTACCCATCAACAGATAACCCCTGCCCCTGGTTTCAAACACGGTCCCTTACACAAGATGGTTTGTTTCTGCAGCAAGGGCTACCACCTCCTTATTCCCCTCCCCATTACCAGCACTACCACCCATTTCCTAATGCCCCACGTACCCAGTTCAGCCTTTTGCATAAGTATCTGCGTGAGAGTCCAGCGAATACCCCCAAGGAAAGAGGCACACAGCACCAGCACGAACCCCTGTGCGTTGAACTGTGTGGACTTGTAGGTGAACATGAAGAGCCCCCCAGCGATGAGCAGAACCACCAGCAGCAATGTCACCCTCTGGATGAGATCAAACACAAATTCACTAGACTCCTGGAGCTGAGCAGAGACAGACACCTCATCTCGTTCAGATTCATCCACGTAATTGCTTTCTTCCTCTACTTATACATTTCTTGTAGGCGTACTGCCTGTTTCCCTAGGCCTGACATTCTCCCTCCCCAAAGCATTGTGTGGAACCCTTACCACTTCCTCCAGCTTGAAGAGCAGTGAAAAAAGCAGGATGAAGAGAATGGCAGAGGATTTGGTCATTGTGTAGCTGTAAGGACCAAAATACACTGTCAGTCTCCTCCAATGTAATCCTTCCCAGCAAAGTCCTATTAGGAACCAGATCACCCTCTCCTACATAGGGACCAACGAGCTATCATATACCCCGCGGCCAACCCCACCAAGCCATATACCTGTTCAATTAACTGACCCTGACAAAGCACTTGCTAAACCCCACCAAAGGGCTCCCAGGGAAGATGGTGTTTGTACTCACAGGGAGACAGTGACGTATAGGAAGCTCCAGTTACTCAGCCCAATATCCAAGGAAGTCGACAGAGCTAAAGAATCAAAGAAAAAATCCTGAAGTTAACTACATAAAGACCCCCAGCCAAACCACCCCTGCTACTTGACCACGAACACAGAGAGCAGACCCAGAAAAAGATCCACATTTTCCTCAGGTTAACTCTTCAGTACCAACATAGCTCAGGTATCTCCAGCTCTTTACATTTCTGTCCTGTTCCCCGTGATTTAAGTTGGGCTCAGCACCATGCTCACTGAATATACACTGTGCGAAAGTACAGAAATAACCCTTGCCCTCCCTGCAACCGAAAGCCATCACCAATTTGCATAAAGTCTTTTTAGAATGTATCAGAGCATGACAACTGGTAAGTACGAGGGCCGCTGCACGAAGCCTTGAAGCAGCAAGTCTGGCAACAATCCTCAGCACGCACCCTTAACCTGCTGCAGCTCCTGTTACAGCCTTTTCTCCCTTGCAGTACGTTTCCTACCACAGGAAACAGTTTTACGAATCCAGTGGCACGCCGTGCTGAAAGGTAGTATCGCTACAAATGCGGAGAAAGTCTTTTTCGACAAACCACGGGGCGCGTAGTGTGAGATACTGCAAACCGTGCCAGAGATCTTAGACCAGATGCTGCTCTGTGGGAGACACCATGATGACCCCTGAACCAAGCTAACATAAGCCGAAGAACTGCTGGAGTAGCCAAAGTTCTGTGCTCCGAATAGGAGTTTCACAGCAGTTTTGTGTGTCGTGTACGATGGACTTTTGCATCATAAAGATCAAGTTCCAACCAGCAAAAGCCCCTGAAATAACATCGATGCACGGCTTTATACCAACGTTAATGACAAAAAATCACTTGCAGAGACGACTGACGGACGTACAAGATTCCCACTGTACGTTCTCACGTGCCAGCGGCTCCTTCAGAAAAACACGTCCAGCGCGGCCTCCGCACGCTCTGACTAGTTCTTGCCGTCACCGA